GTAAAGGAAGCCCTTTTTCTTCCCACGTGGAGGCACAAAGGAAAGACAAAGAACTTCAAGAATCTTAAAACAGTTATGAGCTTGGAAAGTTTGTTTTGAGTCTAAAAGTTTTGTTTCCTTAATTTTAATCTATTCAATGAAAAATTGAAACACGATAATTTCTTGCTGATTCCCTATGGACATCATATCTAGATAGATAAAATACCTCATTAGATAACTAGAGCTGTGTAACAACTTATGTTCGGGGGTTTACATAGACTCATAATTGCTGTTATATTATTATAATATAATTTATAATTATATAATTTATAATTGAAATTAAGAAAGTTTTTTTATTGAATTGAAAAATTGAAAAAAAAAATCAATACTAATTAGTTATGTATCCATTTTTATTTTCTTATACCATTAGAGAAAGACAAGTGAAGAAGAATCGTCCATAAATTTACTAACTCTGTAACCTTGTTTCTAAATTATATGGCATGCATCATATATTTGTTCATAGAAGGTTTAATTGAGAGATGAATTAAATTTCTTTCCAGCAGATGTTCTAGAGATTATATATGGTCATTAATATGTAGAATTTATATTTTCATGTTCATTTTCCAGTGTTTGTGAAAGTAATAGAATGATAAATGGTTCTATTTTCCTGATATGCATCGCTTTCTCCTTCAGCTTCATCTCAGAATTGCACATAACTTATATAATAATCCTATCTAGTCAGTTGGTTAAACTATGTTTTCTAACTTTCCCTGACTCATGTTAGGTATCGGTTTCCTCTGTGGATGTCGGCGTTGTGCCAGAATCAACTATAAGTGATATCTCCATCTCACATACAAGGCCTCCCAAAGGTACAATTGACCTCTTCTCTGGACCTCCCATTCAGATGCCACCCCAACTTACACCAATGGACAGGGAGGCCAGAGTCCTGAGATACAGAGAGAAGAAGAAGACCAGGAAGTTTGAAAAGACAATAAGGTATGCTTCAAGGAAGGCATATGCAGAAACCAGACCTCGGATCAAGGGTCGGTTTGCAAAGAGAACAGATGTGGAAGTTGAAGTGGACCAGATGTTCTCCACAACACTAATGACAGAAACTGGATATGGCATTGTCCCTTCATTCTAAATGCAGTGAGAAAAGGGAGAAGTGAAGAGAAACCTCCTTAGATGAGAATCGTAGGAGTTAATAGTAAAGCTCTAATACTGATACTGTATCTTTCTCAATCTAATTGGTCTGAATCAATTAGATGGTATATGTTTAGTAATTTTGTTGATTGTCTAGATCGTGCTACTGCTATCTTGTAAATGCATGTATATCTATAATTTTGGAATTTAGTTTTTTGCAATTATGAATATCCCTTTCTTGGTGTTCCATCTTTTGTTACAGTTTCAAATATTAGGTTGGTGGGCAAAAAAAAAAAAAATCAAGGACTTGCCATACTAAATTGATGGCCTACTCTTCTGACCTTTAAGAAAAGAGAAATCACTATGATACCTTCTCCGGGAGTAAAAAGAGCGATCAATAATGCAGCATGTTAAGCATCCAACATAAAATCATGCAGATGGACCTTTTGGCTGGCCCCATTCTTTTTCTCTGCCTGAAGATTCGTTGCGCACTACCTTAGACAAGCAGAAGAGTTTCTCTGTCCCAAAAGGAAAAAGCAACTTGGTTATGGCATTTTTTTTCCTTTTTCTTGATAATTGTGTAATACAAAAATTATTCTACGTGTAGACAGAAATATTAATTTAAGTTAAAAAGCAGCATTGAGTGAAGTCTTAAATAAAAGGGCATTCTGGCTTCGAAAATGAAAGAGAATAACCAAAGTCCCTTGGAATGAAAGCAGCATGTTCCACTTCCATTCCTATGAGGCAATGAGAATCCTCTTGCTCATACGTTGAACCATAATCTATTCATGTTAAACTACTAAACAAGTGATTCATTGATGTCTAATAAGGAATGACCAAAATGCTTCTCATTGTTTAATTCTCTTAATTAGTGAATTGTAACTTATTAGTTTGATCTCCATGGAAGTTGCACTTTGCAATTGGCCATGTTAAGAGTTGTCCTTACACAATTGGAAACGGCCAATTCTAAACTTTCCTTGAACTAACTTGACATTCTGCAACAATTTGTCAACATACATAAGGACCTATCCTTGCAACTTTGCGTATATTAATTATAGAAACTACCTGGAGTTACAAAGAGTATTTACAACCATTCCGTTCCATGAATGTCATAGCGTCTTCACACCACAATCACAGATTATCCATAATTGCATATATTAACAGTGACCATAATATCCAACAAAATAAAGGAACAGCATAGGCAATCTAGCTGAAAAACAACAAAGAACCAAGTTAAAGTTTTGAGAATTAATTCAACTTGGAGTCCTCCTTAAAACCCCATGAAGTCACCATTCAGAAAGAAAGGGAAAATTTAGTGTACTCTGCTCTCCTTCCCTCCCACCCCCCAAAAAAAGAACACTTGATTCTTCACTTTATAGGTAATGAATAGCAGTGAGAATTAAGAACAGAAAAACCCAAATTGATTTTTCAGAAAATATGAAATGGGTTAGACTTATGGATCAAATTCAAGTATCCTAGGCTATAAATGTGGATAGAAGCAAACCAACCCTGCCCAACTCTAGAAATGTCACTGTAGATTTCATCCTGTTAAAATTGATGCACAATATCTAGCCAATAAATCCCAATCCATATAGAAACTTAAAGTACTAACCAACAAGAGATTGATTCAATCAATGAATTTATTCACCTTGACGTAAGTGATCCCATCAGGAACCCTTTGTTAGCACTAATCTCCATTGCACAATTCTTATGATACAACATATCTTTGGGCAACCTATCTACTTTGCATTTTGTACCAAAAAAATATTTTAAAACACTATTTACGTCATAATATTGTAGTATTAACTTATTAACAAGGAATTTAGGACCTTTATTGGTGCAAAGGAGGCCCTAAGACAAAATCTCTTGTCCCCATGTAATCCAAAGGGACACCCCCCCTCTTAATTTCCAAAATCCAATCCATCCACTCCCACTAATGCCCAACACTTCGTCCCTACCATTATTTTTGTTCCCATCACAATTAATTCTTATCTGCTGAGATTAAGCCTCCATCTCAATTATTTTACTCTAAATTATGTCAGCTTAAAATATACGTTGGCCAACAATTTTCCCATGAAAACCATGCCTGGTTTGGCTATGCCGACAATGATGGTTTAGCTTTGTCTTGAGTGATATGGATCATCAAGCAAATTTCTAAGTCAACCTTTATGTGCAATTGATGTCAGCCTGGGCAACTTAAAAAGAAATCTGTGCGCTGAATAAATAGAAATGAATTAAATTAAAAAGAGGTGATGAAATTAATCAAAATTTAAAGTTCTTGAAGACCTTGGTACCAAAAATCAAGTTACAGTACCTTCAAATCTAAACCATTTACTTGGATGAAGTTCTTCAGTCCTTTTTAAACTGTCTCATTGTGGTTCCCAAATTTGAGACCTTAATAACTACAAAAATTTTGATCAAGCATGCTTTGTAATGAAGGGAAACCTTACTTCTTCATCAACATTGAAACTCACCCAATTACAATATGCATTATATTATGGAAGCACATGCAACAATGTTGCTTGAAAAACAACCATTTCTTTGGTTTTTTTTAGTATTCATTTTCACATTTCTTTGAGATTGTTACATAGGAATCAAGTAATGGTTAGTGTATTACCCAATACAGCTTACGAGGTTTCTAAATTATTGTACTAAAAATTTTATGTTTTTGGCAATAAAAGGTATAGATAATGGACTTAACTTCATTTGATAACCTAATAATTAATCTTAAAAGATTATATATCGAACAAGAAAAGGTTACGTCTGTTTATATATAGCTATATATATATAAACTGAATTGCTTGATCAATTGCAAAGGAAAATCTCGGATTCCCAACAATTAATTAATATCCCAACAAAGCTTTTATTATGTTCTTATATAAAGAAGGATGATTTCTTGTTAAGGAGGGGTAAGTGTTTGGGATCTTGTTATGTTTTGAGAACATGAAAAGTGCCCCATTTTCAAATGGAGGAGGAAGGAAGTTGCTTAACGAATTCATTTCTCTTGTCATAGGCAGAAGGGAAAAACTAGGCAATACGTGTTCCAAAAGAACACGTTTAATGGGCCCTATTATTAGACAAGCAAAAAGCCTTTCATGGGACATATTCGCATTCATTTTCATTGTTGGTTGCTTCGTTCTCGAATTTCAACCCTAGTAAATTTACCTGTCTATCCCTTTTGCAATATATGATTCAGTTGATTATAAGACCTAATTGCATAACTTAAGAGAAGTTATGCAACTAAAATCACTTCTTAATTAAGATTATGAATATTGTAACGCGTAGGTTTAAGAATTTGAGTGATCGATGAATTGATTTATTTTAAACAAAACCTATCTCCTAAAAAAAGAAAATGGTATGTGTGGATTCTCGAATCAATTATGGTTATGGGCCCAAAAAAATCAACTTTGGTTAATGGTTATTCCACAATTTAGAAGACTATAAGGGTGAACAGTCCTTGAACTGTTTACTATTACCAATAAAATTATAAATGAAATTTTAAACTTATCAATGGATTATTATTATTGATTAATTTATAATCTGATAATTTTTTTTTTTATAAATTTTATTGGTAAATACATTACCAACAAAATTTAAATTAGTATCGATAAAAAATTTTATCAATAAAACTCTTTTTTATAATAATGTTGTTAATTTAACTTAAACTGCATTGAATGAGCTAAATAAGTCAGAATATGTAATTTCTGGTGACAAAAGAGGGCATTGTTGCCTGCTTAATTGACCAACAAGCTTCTCAAATAATCAATACCCTAGTATCAGTAGAGCCCAAGAAAGAATCTTTGTTGAAAATAGGGGGCAATTTGGTATCTTACTAAAAGCAACCTCATTTTCCTTGTGCTAATCCAGGCACTGTGGAACTTGGTTGATACTATAAATTCAAAGCTCCCATGAACATCCATTAAACTGCACATCAAACCAGTAGGGAAAAAAAAAAAACAGAGATAATAAAATTTGAGATGAGGCCTGCAAGCAACTCCACAGCAGCAGTTACCGGGGCCGAATTCCGGCACTGGAACTCTCCCATTCCTTACCTCTTTGGTGGTATAGCAGTCATGCTAGGACTCATTGCTGTGGCATTAGTTTTTCTAGCTTGTTCATGCAAAAAATCTCCACCCAATTCCTCTGGTGAAGCTGAAGGAAAGCCTGCCAAGCAAGTGATCATGCAACTAGAAATGGAGCCAAAGATTGTTGTGATCATGGCTGGTGATGAAATTCCTACGTACCTGGCCAATCCTGTCTCTTCCACTCACAATACTGAACAAGTTTGAGAGCTTCAAAGATTAGGCTTTAAGCAGCTAAACTTTCCAGCAATCTTTTATATATATCTTTCTTAATCATTTTTTTTCCATATATCTTTCTTTTGTTTTCCTTTTGTACAGTCCAAAGTAATTGCAGTATTGCGGGAATATATGTAAATGTTGAGTATATGAAAGATCACTTTTCTGTGGGTGTTTTACAAATAATTAGTCTTCATATTTGTTTCCTTTTCTATTTTGTTCTTCTGTTTTTTTTTTTTTTCAATTTTTTTCTTGTCTGATTTGGTTTATCTAGGAATGCATATGCATTGGAAATTCGGAATTGATCCAATATGCAAAGGTAGAAAAGAAAATTATCAGATCAAATTAAGTAAATGAAAATGAAAAAAAAAATTGTTGAGCTTACCTTCGGCAATCTTAATTTTGTGTTTGTTCTGGCAATATTAAAGCAAACAATAGGGCTGGGAAAGAGATCAGAAAAAACCAGTCCAATCGACGGTGTCTTTGTTGGGGAAAGGAGACAAGTTTTTTTTTTTTTTGGTTTTGGGGATAGGGCCATGGCCACTAGCTTCAATGTCTAAAAAGCCAAATGGAACATGCACGATTCTGTTGAGTAATTAGTAGGTTCCTTTGGGGTGTCAATTTTCAGTTTCTTTGTTTTATGTACTACAAAAAGCTGCCCAAAACTTTAACAAAATTGAAACTTTTGGAAAATGTGTGATCAAAATAAATAAATAAATATGAAAGCTTTAATAGAGAGTTTACCCTAAGCAAAATTGGAGAAACAATTTATGGAGCATTGTCATAATTTATTGGAATTAAGGTTAATTTTGTTACTACATTGAAATGTGTCATTGCACTTCAATTTCGTTTAATTTTGCCATTTTAACTTATTAATTTTTGGATATAAAAAAAGGAAATAAATGGAAAATGATATTTCAATTCTATTATTTTTATCAATAACATTGAAAATATAATGATTAAATTATTTAATAAATTGGAATATATACAATGATAAAAGACACTGCTGACTCATGTTATAGTGAAAATTTTCATATTAATCCTAATTTAATATATCCTCCCAATTATCTAATCCCTAGTATTAATTGACCTCTATATATAGACTGTAATTTGAGAAAACTGACTAATTAAAGAAATTTCATTTTCATCAATAGTCCCCTCAAATAGGTCTTATCAATTTCTCTAAATTTGGTCACAATAGTCAATGGTTTAAACTTATCTCATGTTAGATGAAAAAAAAAAAAAAAAAACAAAGGACAGAATTAATTGATTAATCTTTCTAATTAGCCACCTTATCGATTAATTAATCACTTAATAATTTACTTTATGACTCATTCCCTAACCATGTTTGATTAAAAAGCAAGAAAAATGTTAATGGATTAGGTTTAAAGACGTGGTGGCTCGAAAATGTACTTGGGGAGCTATATTATAATTGGAAGACTTGGAAAAACAAAAAGCTAAAAGGGTTAGTGAGAGTAAGTGAAAAGAAAAGTTTGTTTTTGCTTCAAAATGGCAAATTAATCTTAAGGAAAGTGCATTTCTACATCATCTTTTGTTTTAGTGGGAGACATTTGAAATGATTGTTTCCACAAACTGCTTAGTTATTTCCACATTTTTGTTGAGTTTCTCATTGAAGTTGATTGGAGTTGACCCAATTTATTCATCTCTCTATCAAATGGAATTGACCCAAGTTGTTCATCTCCCTATCAGAATGCATAGTTTTGGCTATGTAATTGGTAGCTTTGGCTGTCAAATTCTTGCAATTGAAAACCAAAATTTCCTCAAATTCTATGCATTAATAGCATGGGAAAAACAAAAGTTAGTGGAAGCACAACTTAAGACATAAATTCTCGTAAGATTGGAGATCATTCTTCAACATTTACAATTTTTTCTCTCTCTTTTTAAATTATGACATCCTTTATAAAAAAAATATTTTGATGAATCAAATTAAATCTAATTTGTTCCCTTCAAGCCATTAAATATAATGGATAATAAAATAATAGTATCTAAGTTTTGACGAATTCTTCAAATATAATGTTACTGTTCCTAAATTCTAATCCAAGTTTTTTATTTGATATTAATTAATTTAGTTAGTTAATTTAGAAGTTTGGAATAATAAATATTCTTGGAGTAATTGATGGTGTCTTTAGTTTCCAAGCAAACCTAGAGAATCTACCGTTTTCTTAATTTGCCCTTTTACTGCTAATTAACCTTTTAAAAACATAAAATAAATAGACTAGAACTCATAATATCTTTGGCTCATTAATTAATTTTCAACAGTTTGGTTCAATGAAAAGTTATTAATTAAATATCTTTTTTAGTAACTTGAACTTTCATAAACTGAGATTTAAATTAATTTCTTAAAAAAAATTGACGTATGAAAATGATAGTTTCAGGCAAAAGAGTGAAAGTAATTTACCCTGCTAGCTATTTCTTCTACTTTCCTCATATTTTTGTAAGGAAACTAAGTCAAAGAAAAAAAATTATTAGAGTTTCCTTTAGATTTTCCTTAAAATATTTTTTCTCTAATTTTTTCTACCTCAACCAAACATAAGAAAATTGTGTCTTAGAATTTCATTTTCTTTTCTTTTCCTCAGATATCAAAGAGGGGCCTTAATGATGTGCCTTTTAAATACGGCTTTCTTTTTTACTCAGGCATTTCTTTGTAAATTTCTTATCCAGTAGTATCTATGGTCGACCCTAGTCAATCACTGACAAAGGCTAAAGTGGGTGTCATTTTTAACTCAAATATTGCAAGAAAATGGGGTAAGAATCAAAATGATGTCACCTTATTTCATTCGAGTTAAAGAACTACATTGGCGATTTGATTCTTGGAGAAGTTACTTGAATCTGAAATTTGGCTGCCCAATAATCTTTTCAAGCAGACAAATGAGGAATATCAGCCCTTAATCTACTGAATGAGCAATCAGAAAAGACAAAGTGTCATTAATCCACTACATTATCTAGGAATGACCCTTGCTTAAACTCTTGAATTATTATCAAATTATATGGATATTGTTCTGTTTGTTAAATTCCTCAAGCTGCTATCTTGCCCCTTCGGGTAATAGAGAGCCGAAATGTATTGATCATGTTGGCATAGTTGGATCTTAATTTCAATAAAACTGAGTTTGTCTCATTGGGATTAAAATAATTGTGCTTGATCCTAGTTGTCGAATTTGACCACAAACACACTTCTCAACAGGGCAAATTTTGCTGTAAAAATTTACATTTGTTTCCAGTTGCAATCAGAACCGGCATCAGTAATGCCAAACTATGCTATTTTTTTTATGCCAGAAGAGGAGAATTATGGTTCATAGTGAATTCTCATCACAATTAAAGTATGTCTTCAAAAATGAAATTCGACCTAACTAACAAACTTTTCACCATGTTGACTTTCCGAATGGATTCTAAGAACCAAAAGATCGAGAAAGAATATTGAGCTTTGAATTTCATGTCAGCTAGAAATCCTAAATGACATCAACTTTGGTAAACAAAATGGATTGGTCAGAGTCTTGGTAAAGTCTTTTTGACAAAATTTTCTCAAGCTGTTATTTCTTCACTAATTAACATGATGGATGAAAACAAAAGAAAATTTTGGGTGCAATTAGCACTTGATTAATGGGGTTTTTTAATATAAATTCAGTTGAAAAAAGAACATTCCATCATCTCATAGAATTAAGTCACTGAAATGCTTTAATTGAGCTTTTTACTGATCTCTAGAACATGAAGAAACAGTAGGGGAAAATGCAAGGAGAAAAGTTTTTCAACTTCAACTTGTTTTGGTGGGAGACAATCTAGATTTTGTTCATATTAGCTTAATAATGAACAGCTGAATCCCAGACGTTCTCAGCCGTTGCCCAGCATAAAAATAATGGGAAAACAAGCGAAATCTAGATTGTTCCTAATGGCTTTGGGGCCCCTATGTCCCCTTTTTTGCCAATATTGGGCCATGGCAACAAGATAAGATCAAAGAAAAACAACTTAGCCATGGTGGGCGTTTCCGTATGTGAATGGCCACTCTATTTCTCTATATGCCCATATATAGATGACAATTAATCTTGATTATGTGAGAAATCACTATGTATTACGGTTAATAAGGTAGTAGTCTATCTTATAGACTTATAACACAAGAATTTCATTTCTAGATACAACTTTGTTTTTTATGGAGTCCTGTATTTTACAGGTAACCATGCCATATTTTATTTCAATAGCAACAAAGACACAGGTCAGATTTCTTAGGAGACAAATAACAGCAAACAAAGACAGAACAAAAGCATAAAGATCTTAGGTAAATCTCACTTAAACTATAACCTGACAAAGAACCTATGCACGTTTAATCCAGGAAAGCCGACTTTTTATGATGAGAAGACAGTAGTAAAGCATGAAAGAAAAGAAAGATTATATATATGGAAGTGGGGAGGCTGTGGCCTGACATGCTTGAGAACATGGGTCTCATATTTCGTCCAGCTTTGACTTTTGAAGAATGTGTTCATCAGCAACATCGTGACAAGACACAAAAGTTTTAGTGCACAGATATATTCCCTCATTTTTATGAAATACTGAAATGGTTTTATCTGTAACACTGCCCTAAAAAAGGTGACGGTTGGGCTAGGATGATAATGACAGAAGAAATCTTTTTCTGACCAAAAGAGCAGTTTTTGACTATAAGTTCATTTCATTTCTTTTCCAATTTTTTTTCTTATGCCAAAATTCTGCGTTTTTTTTTTTCTTTTTCTTCTCATACATGTGATCTTTGAAATAGATAATAAGAAATAGTTCTCTCCTTCCATAAATCTCAACCAGTCCATCTCAAGATTCGAACCAATACCTCAAAGTTTAATTCTCAAGTTCTAGAAGTTTCCATATGCTTTCTCCTAGTTTCACAAACTAATATCTATAAAGCTGTAAATAATATAAAAGCAATCTCTATTGAAACAGTAAAATATGTTCAGTTGATGCTTAATTAAAGTGACATATGTTGGTTAACAATTGATTCCTCTATTAATCAATAATATAACATATTATTACACATGTCCTTATTTATTACAATTAGAGATTTTGGAAATTGACTCTTTAATGATTTAATCGAGAGATTTTGGAGAATTCCAATCAATTTTTTGTTTCGGTTGGATAAAAATAGTGTTTTTTAACTTACAATTAT